TTGTATACATGCTACGTACAAAAGGAGAAGTGTTTACAAAATTCACAAGTTTTGTTGCAATGGTGGAGGCACAAACAGGAAGGTCAGTTAGGGTTATCAGAAGTGATAACAGCAGCGAATATTCTTCCGATGCATTGAAAGAATTTTGCAGAAAGAAAGGTATTCAACATCAGTATTCTGCTCCATACACGCCTAAACAAAATGGAGTTGCAGAGCGTTTAAACAGAACAATATCTGAGGATATGCGTGCTATTTTGCATCATGCAAAATTACCTAAGAAGTTTTGGGCAGAAGCATTGAGTACCACTGTATATCTCAAGAGCAGATCACCTCACTCATATAACGATGGAAGAACACCTTATGATATTATTCATTGAGAAAAGCCTAATTTGTCACATTTGTATGTGTCTTGCGACTGTACATGTTTCAAAGCAGCAGCGTTTAAAAATTGATGCGAAAGCTAAAGTTAAAGTTTTCATCGGCTATTCAGACGATGTAAAGGGATACCGTTTGATAGATCCACAGACACCAGCAGTAACTGTTAGCCGTAATTTTACCTTTCATGAAGCTAAATTTTTGTGTGATATCTAAAATATTCGGAATATTCATCCAGTTGTAGCTGCAGAGGATCTTGTATCAATTGATTATTGCGGCGCTAATTACCAAGATGATGAAGATGATGAGACTGAGGATAATTCTGATCAAAGTTCAGATGCACCAGTGAGTAGAGATGTGTCAGAACAGACAGATAATTTGGTTCAGGAGGAAGATACAGCTCAGGTGAGTGCTACATATGAGGAGATTTGAATCAAGTTCGTTCATTGCCAGCAAAACGTCCATCAGCATTGCGTCCCTCAAATGAGATGCCTCATCATTGTAAGCTTGCTTTGCACCAGTTGGATGTAAAACAGCATTCTTAAATTGAACTTTAGAAGAAGAAATTTTCATGAGACAACCGGAGGGCCATGTTGTTAAGAAACACCCTGATTATGTGTGCAAATTGAGAAGATCTCTTTATGGACTACGCCAAGCAGCTCGTTATTGGAATGAAATAATGAATTAATGAGTACTTGAGATCAGCTGGTTTTGAAGCAAACACCTTAGATACGTGCTTCTATATTAAGCAAGAGGGAGAAAGGTATGTGCTATTAGCAATATATGTAGATCATATACTAATTGCATCAAATAACACAAGTATGCTGCAGAAAGAGAAGGTTCAACTAATTAAGAAATTTGATATTGTTGACCAAGGAGAGGCTCATATTCTCGGCATATAAATCAAGCGAAATCATTCAGCAGAAACTGTCTTTAAGTCACCTTAAAGGAGAACTGACACGCAAAAAAAAGTTTGGCTAAAACGGTAGTTTGTGACAAGCAAATTCCGAGATCGAAAAAATTTTTTTAATCACAGTTACCGTTTTTGAAATACAGGCGTTTTAAGTTGAGAAACGACAAATATTCCGACAACTTGAGACTAGAGGCGAAAATCGTCACGAGTGGGCGATCATCTTTGACGTCACAAGTGACATGTTCTCAGCACGTAATGTGTTTCTCTATAGAAACCTTTAACAAAATGCTGCG